TGAAATACATTTTGTTATAGGGTGTGTTTTTTATAATAGTGAAAGAGAAATATATTATACAGAATTCACAAATATACTCCCCACTTTTCAATCAGAAAACAATATCAACTTTTTAACTTTTATTTATTTTATTTTTGTTACTATACTAAATTTTAAAATTTATTAAATAACAGCCTAAAATGTTTTGTTAACTTTCATTATAGTGTAATAAATGGAATTATTATTATTATTATTATTATTATTATTATTATTATTATTATTATTATTATTATTATTATGGCAACACATAATAATAATATCTCTTTATTTCGTACTGTGGCCATTGGCCTTATGTACAGATACAAATAAATACATAATACTAGTAAATTAGATTGGATTATGGCAACACATACAGGATGTCGGGTGTATAGAAAACGAAGACCTAAGACACTGGAAAACGAAGACTCTGGAAAACGAAGACCCTAGAAAACGAAGACCCTGGAAAACGAAGACCCTGGAAAACGAAGACCCTGGAATGTTCCTATGACGCAAATGATACACGAATTCGCCCAATTCGGGCATTTACTTTCATTGTGAACTAACTTCCCGTACGAAATTCTTCATAATAAATTAAACTAACTACTTTTAATTGTGAAATTAGCACAATTTTACTGAAAAGAAGAGCTTTTCAATGCTCATGAATATTAATTTGTGCAAATGGGACGGTCAACCAATCGTATCATACACCCCCGGGAAACGCACAGTAAGCTAAATAACAAAATGACGTGGCGACGTGTAGCACGGTTACTTCAAAATTCTTCTGATAACCTTGCGTGTAAAGAGTGTGTAAGTTGTTTTCCAAACCACCAAAACCGGCGCTGCATTTTTTCACCCAGTTTTCCACAATTTTGTATGCCAACGTTGCAGGCTGTCTGTGGCATACTTCGTGAGCAAGGTGACAAATATTTATGTCGACCATGTTTTAACAAAGTAATGAAACTGTCAACTCTGAAAGAAAATTTCAGAAACACAACTAGACTGATCATTCAAGAGTTGAACTGTTGCACAATTTTCGTGATTTGCCACTCCCTGTCCTCGTTGCAACAAACTCATCTTTTTTCGGCTTATAATGCCTCAATTGCATGGTTTTGGTGACCGATGGGGCTTTTTATCTTGAAAGACTGTGTGATCTGGTCTGCTTGGGTCGCCTGTAAAAAAATCGTTCTACTGTATTTTGATACAAGATATTAGTAGGTGATTGACTGTTTATTTTTGTCACATCTCCCCCTCCTTGTCGTTAAGGGCGCCTATTAAATACACACTGTAAGTGAGTCAATCTGCAAAGGGTTAGTTTGGAGGGGTGACTCGAAACAAACGTTCCTTGGCTGGCGAAGATGAGCGGACCAATGAAGTTCACTATAAGTATTATAAAGCGTAATTCGAAATTGTTGCAACTAATTTCATATTCTTTTATTTGTCGTTAAATAAATGCACTTTTCATAGACGAATTTGTGTCATTTATTTTAAATAATTTGCTGAAAGTGAAACAAATCAGTTGAAAGTGAAACATGGCGTGGTCGCTGGACGAAAGTGTCGATGTTAACAGTCATGTCTGTCAATCAAAAACAACACAGTCCAACAATGTGTTGGGCTGCGAACTAAAGATTGTGGTATTTCAACAACAATGATTAACCTGAATTGCACTAAGAAATGGTTTGAGTTTGTAAAATATCGACCACAATCGAACTTATTTAGATTTTTATCCTAAACACTGAGTGAATACCTATTGAGTCATTTCCTATTCTACCATCTCCCGGTACCACAATAAAGTGATTACGTTCAAACTATAGACAGTATGATGTGCATAAGGCCAGACTTTTATTATCCCCTGTTTCGCGAACCCGCCGAATGAACAGGAGCCAAAAATGAAATAAAAATAAAATTTTATTTCAGCGTAATTTCTCGCGCCCGCCAACTTGTAAGCGCAAAAAATTGCTAAAAAAATATTATTTTTATCTTATTATTTTACCGCCCGCCGCATAGCAAATCCAAGTTGCATTTTCGTGGGGGTATCATGATCAAAGTATCGAAGTCTCACGCAGATGAGAAACAAGGTTATACATGGAATACAATTTTATTTCATTTCTTCTCTCCGATCAATGATCTCACTTACAATTCTTTGAAAATCACACAAATCTAATGGAAAAAAAGAATTAATTTTATTTTTTTTCCGCCCTCCTCAAAAAAATTGCCTTATAAAAACTCGAGAAACAAGGAATAAAAAAAGTATGGCCTAATTAAACGAAAGAACGAAAGATTAAATATTGGCCCTGCCATCTTTGAAACCGGACCTAGCTTCGCGCTCAATTCGTTCTATTGACATTTCCAAATATTCCCCACTGAAAACAAACCAGTTTTACTGGTAGATTAATGGATTTTATTTATCGTAATAAAACAAAAGAATCGGTACTACATGCAGGCGTGGCATCTGCGTGCCCTCAGAACGTACACGCAGATCATCACGCAGACATCAGTGTTATGGCTTCAGCGTGCCCACAAAACTCACCCGCAGATACGCTTTTGAGGTACCCGTACATACCTCGCATATTTATACATGACCACGACGCTCCATGTTGTAACCATAATGTTGTTGTTTCTTTTCATGTTTTGCTGTAACCCGGTATGTTCAACTGTCCATCCACCGCGAGACTTGGACCTGGCAATAAATCTCATTTTTAAATATCGTCTAAAAAATACCGCCCACAGTAAGAGTGACCGCACATGTTGTAGAGGTAGCAACGCACTGATTGTTAGACAACGTGGTGCGGTTAGACCCGAGTGGATCGTGTGGAGATATAAATACCAGGGGCGGATACAAGATTTTTGTATGGGGGGTCCAAACTTTAAAATCACCAGACTAAGTTAATGATTTTTTTATATTATACAAAATCAAATTGAATATTTTTTTCAACGGGGGGTCCGGACCCCAATAAACCCCCCCCCCATATCCGCCACTGAATACGGTAACTGTAACTAGCACGACGAATTTTCTACTAGACATAACGGACAGGTATTCAATAACGAGCATGATTCGTGTGATAAAATTTGGGTTGTCCCGTCATAAAGCTGTTGCGATAATTTTGCACTATACATAGGCGGCGGCACAAAATTTGAAGCGAGATCTGCTCAGCAACCTTGTGTCGAAGGCGCGACCTTACTAGGTGGTCCGGGGCATGCTTCCCCTTGAAAAAATTGAAATCTAGACCCTCTGAAACGTTATTTCCTGCATTATGAGGGGCAAATTTTGCTGACACTAAGCGTTTCAGCTTGATTTTGGAGGGGCGACGCCCCCAACATTTTTTTTGAGGGGGCGACCGCCCCCTGTACCGCCGCCACTGCCATAAATTTTATCTGTGTATCGAAAACCGCGGGTGAAAACATTTATTTTCTGTTAATATACAACCCACTAACCAAGTAACCAAGTAACCAGGATCGGTTTACTCGGCTGTCGCATCACAATTACCGGTCGCCCGTGTCCATCAAGTTTTCTGTCGGACACAAAGTTTTATAACGTCGTCGCTCGGTTGTCCACCTAATTTTTTGAGAAGTAGGTTATATGATGAGCATCTGTAAGTTAATAAATTATCTAGTAATCCTGTTTCGCTTAGTATTTTTATTATAAACAAATGTTTGCCACTTGCTGTTTCGTTTTCGATAGTCTGCCTGCAAATAGTAATAGTAATACAACATTACATGTGAACTCTATGATATGGAAATGTTTTCAGAAGTTTGAAGAAGATGGATATGTTATGCCGCCCTGCAACTAACTATGCGAGTCTGGCAACTATCATAATAACCCAATTGTTTGCAAGGTAAAGTTAACTGTGGTTTCACGTTCTCTGTTAAGCAAATTACATCGTTTTTATTTTGGAATACAACCACAAAGTAAGAAGCCAAAGGCGGATTCAAATATCGCCCGCCAGCAACGATTATGAGAAAATTAAGCTGGTCTAGGGAGTTTCTGTGGATTTAAAGACGAACACCGTTCTAAGACAATTTACTGCAAGTTATGGTGCCCTCTCTGTTAATCGAAACGTGTAGGAATACATACTAGAAATATGCGCAAGGCAAGTTTGTTACTGGTAGTATCCATCTCAAGAGAAGAATGCTAAAAAAGTACGAGAAAGGGTCACCAATTAACTCTAAATTTATAGAAAAATAAAGATGCCACAAGAGGTGAAATTCCTGCAGAGAAAATAATTCAGCAGCTCGATATTTTATACTCATTCCAAATTTGAGAATGAAATGCTGAATGACGGTGATGATTGAGAATGTTGTTGTTGTTGTTGTTGTTGTTGTTTTGGCATATGTTGATCAAAATGAACTTTTTATATTATCTATAAGTATAACTTATTATTCTATGCAAATTTCAAAGCTGTATCATATTAATGGAACTTACTTAAAGCGAGGGAGTCGTCACCTGCGCATGCGTTAGATGGCCCACAGTCCCCCTGGACTGTGGCAACTGTGGGCCAAAAATTTTTTTCAGATTTTTCTTAATAACTAGGGTGAAGGTGTGATCTACCTGCCAAGTTTGAACGAAATCGAGCCAAAAAAATCACAGAAGAAATCATACGTGAAAACACTGGAAATGTACACACACAGGCACACACACACACACACACACACAAAATGACAAAAGTGATTATAAGGGCAATCCTAGCGGAGTGGATCGCCAACAAAACTGATTATAAGGGCAATCCTAGCGAAGCGGATCGCCAATATATTGCATAGCATAATATGATACAAGCTGAATGCATTGGTGGAAATTATTTCATTTTATTTTATTTGGACGTTGATATATTTGTAGGAATTGGATTCTATGTAATAAAAGAACAATACACGTCCAGTATTGGTAGTCTAAGAGTATATAACAAACACAGTTCATTTATGATGCAACTAATCAGTAAAATTCAGATAACTTTATCTGGAATTGTCCATTATATCCATTATAGTGCCACCATTGATTACCACTACTCCACTGCACAAGACACTGTGTAATTTTATAAATTTCAGTAACCCTTCCTTCACGAGGTGGATTACCGTCCTGTGGACAGAAAATACACATTATATTTTAATTTAATATTCTTCCTTAAATCTTGTGTTAATCGTTCGCACTCTACTTACTTTCCTATGAGAAGCTATCACAGATCTCTGTTTATTATTTGCATTGTGCGAACATTAGAGAGGGCATCCGATATTTTTGTTTGGTCAATTAGTGCCCTGCGCTGACATATAGCCGGAATTCAGGGCAACTCTAGATAGGCAAACATTTATTATTTTTATTTGTATTACAATACATTTAACTGGATCACGTAATCATCTTGAAATATTCAAGTTTCAGTGTTATCGGTGCATCGAGCTTATATGAACTCACAAAACTTCAACTTTGGCAGTACTTCCGGTAAACCCCAGTTAAATATTACGAACCTAGCGTGGAAACCAAGTTATAAGACGGGGTGCCAGACTCACATTCAGTACCCCCCCCCCACCCCATGAAATTCAGGTGCGAGATAAGCAAGACATCGTAACTTTTATAGACAGAGAGCGTTCAATTCGTAAATAAAGGCCAGTATGATTCATTCATTCATTATAACTTATCATATAGTGGACCTTACTATGTTTTCCCTGTTCCAATCCTTTCCTCTCGCAACAATTGACCCAACTTTTATTTTCTGTGCCATCTCTTCTTCTGTAATCAGACAGTTAATATGAGAATTAATTTATAGCAGCATCCGACAGCAATGAGGTCAAGGGTTATCACATGATTTACATACACCATAATCGTACATGTAATATATGGTGGCATGAGTAAGAAATAGGTCAAAGGTTACTTCCCAATATACATGTACACTTATGATAGTGTGAAAACAAACTATTCTTACCGGACATGACGTCAATTATAAAAGGAGATCCGGGTATTTTTTCATCACCAATACTGATTATCAGATTATATTTTGCGACTTGTTGCCCTGGAAACATCACTTTGTAGTTTCCATCACCATCGTTAGTTGTCATTAGGTCACATGTTGTATTGTCGGGTTTCTCTATTTTAGCTTTTACGGTGATGTCATCAGTGTCAGCTACAACACGTTCACCATTTACATCCACTGTTTGTACGTCAACTTGAAATGATTCACCGTCATAGAGTATCTTAGGTATATTTGTTCTAGTTGTTTTAGAAGCATCAGGTCCGATAAGTCCTATGCTGTTTTTCATCTCAAGTACAGTTGATTTTGGGAAAAATCTAAAAATACTAATACATCCCAAATTAATATTGTCAGTGTCAATCAAACCCTCTGCCCTATTCATGGATCTCTTACATTCAGACACGATTTCTCCGGCATCTCCATAATTTACCAACGTTTTAATAAACTTTCTTGCACTGGTAACGCTCTTTTCCGTTATTTCAAGTCGATCAATTTCACATTCTAAATGTTTCTGTAAGGTATCTCGATTCTTTGTCAATATTCCCAGGGCCTTCTCCTCGTCAGTCTTTATTTTCTTGATGATTTCTTCTGCGCGTTTCTTCACTTTCGCGGTTTCTTTCTCGTAGAGATCTTGTATTTCAATCAATCTCTGATTTCCCGATTCCACAGCAAGCTTAATCTCATCTTCTTTCTTCGCTAACTTCTCTAAAACCTCTGACATCTTGGGAGTGAATTCAGCAGCAACATCTTTGACATACCGGTGTTTGTGTCCATTATGATTAACCACGGTACATTCTAAACACGTTGGAACGTCACAGTTATCGCAGTAGAATTTCACTGTGTTTTCACCATGGCCATCAACGTTACAGCGAGTAGATGGTCGAAAACTACTCAGTTTCTCTGGCGTAGTATTTTTTAACTCGTTTAATGACATCACGTTGTGGCGTTTGCAGGCTGCGATCTTGGTGAGAGTCTTTGTACAGGGAGAGCAAAGGTTGGTGGCGCAAGTGATACATCGATTTGAAGCAGTGTTTTCCTCACATCCATCACAAATCACTACGTCAGTCATCCCAGTACATAGATCACGTGATTTTACGAATTCCACCAGTCCGTTAATTAACGAGTTGTTGCGCAATAGTCCCACCCCATCTGATCCTTGGATATCAGCAGCAGTACGACAATATGGACAAACCAACATACCTCTTTTCTCCACTAATTTGATGAGACAATTCTCACAGAATGAATGTAAACACGGCAGTGTTTTGGCATTCTGGTAATAACCGAGACAAAGACCACAAGTTAGGAAATCTTTACCAATCTTGTCCAGGTCACCGGTGTCGGGTTTTGACGCCATGGTTGAAGTTGCAGCCCCTGTAATGCAAAGCAGGATGTAAGTCTCGTTGCGAGTGAGTGTCAATGGAAAGTACAAAGGTCCCCGGCAAAGGTCATGCAACTATAGGGGTCGCCATGACCTTTAAAGTTGTAGTGTCTAGCACATTCATATTGGAGTATCTTGGCCCAAAATCCCAACTTACCCCCACTGGTTATGGCATTCGTGAGTTATACCAACCGAAAGCTGATGTACTGCGCTGTTTATCGACGATGTTATTATTATATCCCATCATGCATTGCTGATCGCACTCAGCTTTGGGTGATCGCTAAACACCATGACAACTAACCTAGTAAGTACGCACAGGGTTAATATATGTGGGCTATATTAGAGCCCGCGTATAGTAACGAGGCCCTGTGTAAGTACAGTCATGTCACGGAGAGCCCTCGTGTTCGATCTCGTTACTCGACAGCGCCCCCACATTGTTCATAAACTCATCTTCAACGTGCCGTGGTTCATAAATAAACAAGCGTGGACTTACTCAAATTGTGCTCAAACGAATTATCCCATGACCGCAGTTGGTTACCGGAGACAGGATATACGGTTGAAATCGCCGTGCAGGACACATCACTCGATGCTATGGTTGTCGTTATACGTGTTAATACTGGCGATTCGCCGAGATATTATAAATCAGATACTTTCATATTCAGATTATTAGTTGTGATTTGAATGCAATCTTTACATTTAAAGGATAAAATTACCTGTAAATGTTGCTACAAACATGTTATAAAACAAACAATACACCGTTGCCCTTAGTTGCAGTATTTTCTTGTTACAAGAAACAGCATGGAGCTAAAAAGAAGTGCTGCAGTTTACTTTTGTTCAGCTCCATGGTAACAAGTGACAAATAGATGAAGAAGTTTGTACGATATAGATAACACACATGACATCAAAGATAGAACTGGACATGTAACACTTAGTATTAACAGATTACAAAGTTCTAAACGGCGATAATTTTACTTCATCGATATATGCAATAATACATAGACCGGTCCTACTCACTTGGTCAAAACATATCGTTCGAGTCGAAATACATCACTTCTAGAAATTCGATACTTCAAATAAATTTGTAGTAGAAACACAACGATTTATTTATTTATTGGTTTATTGATTGATTGATCGATTTATTTATTTATTTATTTATTTATTTATTTATTTATTTATTTATTTATTTATTTATTTATTTATTTATTTATTTATTTATTTATTTATTTATTTATTTATTTATTTATTTATTTATTTATTTATTTAATGATTTATTTATTTATTTATTT